GTACACGTTTACTAAATATACGCATCTACATTCGTTCATTTATGCCAATTGTATATCTGATTTCATTATGAAATAAAGAAAAATAAAATCAATAAATCAATACACATGTGGCTCATAAAGATGGCTCATTCTGGACTCACTTTGGACACACATATGGACTAGTGACCCTCCAGGGAGGGACTGGGCACCTACGTAAAAATGCGCCTAAACCGGAAGTTGCATGTTCAAAACGCGAAATGCAAAATTAATAGACGAACATGAATTATATTCACTGTCAGCACGTCAGTGAAGTAAAAATTAACATTTCGAATATTCTTTTAGGAATAATATGTCAATAATAAGAAAATAATATTACATTATTTTTTAACGATATTTATTTCGTGAGTTTTGTATAATGATCGAATGCTGACGTCGAATAGCAGTGTATTTACTTTATCTCTTTCTCATAGCTAATCAGAAATCGTCACTTAAGAGACCAATCGTTCTCTGGGTCACTAATATAAACGATGTGGCACATTCACGTGGCTCCACGATGTAAGCACTCATGATAGAAAGAGGACGTATTACATTATCTTTGTATGTGCGAAGTGGCCCCGGAATTTAATGATTGTTTCGTCCATAGGAGCTTTCAAAGAAACGGATCATCCTTCTTTTTAATTGGCATAAATCTAACTTTGGAAAATCGTAGTATACATTCTCGCTATTCAAGCACACATAATTTTGTTGCCAGTATCACGTTGAAAAGTGAAGTCGTTACTTTCAACCGCGGCCGAGCCCCGAACGAGTCAATAATTCCGCTGCAGATGTAGCCGTCGTAGTTTCACGTTTTTGGAAAAGTGTGATTCACGGACAGTTGGCCGTGGCGTAACGCGCGGCCAATTGAAAAAGAGGAGGCGCATTAATTTTGAATTTTTACTTGACGCCCATTGTTCCGCTCTCGGGTCCGGTCTCGCGGCGCGGCCATTTCACGCGAGCTTCACTTTACATCGTGTTATATCCGTTCCGCCGTTGAAAAATGGATTTCACCGGCTCGTACCGGTTGCTCCCGGCACGCCGCGTATCGTAGTTGCACGGGTATTCGAAACGGTGGAATTGAAACGGTGCAGTGTATTAAAGATTAATATTTGCGAAATCGCCGGGCCCCAGCAGTTTTTGTCGAGCGCAACGGTGAGATATCGCCGCTTTCAAAATTACTCTTTTTATCATTACTATTTTTCAGACGTTGGCACGCAGTTCGTGAAAACAAATAAAAATTTCGCGAGACCAATATAAATATTTATAAACACCCTTCCATGCTGCGAATCAAGTTAATTTGTTTGTTGCAAAATTATTTACGTCGATCGACGATCACGTGTCACTGTTTCGTTGTCGCGTAGTTGACACGATTGCCACAGAGCCGGGAAAGAATTTTGTTTACCGGTTTATCCTAAATATTTGCCGGCATTTTCCCGGCCGGCGGTAGGATTCAAATCAATCTAGCGAAATTGAAAGCGCACAAATTACAGGGAATCCATGATTCGTAAGTGCATTCTCGACATTTCGCGGGCGGACCGCCGTGTTGCCCGATCAATCGAATTTCAACCTTCCGATCGGTCGAATTCGCGCGCGTGTACACACCAGCAAACACGTACGGACACGGTTGTGCGTTCAGGAACAGACGTTTTTGTCTCGTGCGTTCGTTCGCTCGCCGGGCGTACATACACCGAGCGAGAGTTTTATTAAATTCCGTCGGTTGACTGTGGAATGAGAAAAAAAGCTTTGTACCGCTCTTGCATCCCCCGACGACTGTTCCGTGCGAATAATAGAAAATAAAAAACGCGATGAAGGAGGGGGGGGCGGAGGTGTAAGGGGAAGGGAAAAAGAGGGAACCGCGCGAATGCCTTTGAGACTAAAAGAATTGATACGTAGGCGCTTTGCCGAATATCTGGTATATGTGATCATCTCGATTCTAAGGAATTTATGTATCGCGTTATCGATTTCCCACTGTTATCGACTGTCTCTCGTTGAATGCTAGACACACAAGCTAATCGTTTGCACCACGTCTATAATTTCATCAGCTTCTTTCGTATTGACACGGAATTTATTGAAATTGTTATCCGTTCGTTGATAGAAAATTCAATATTGGAAAATGTAAAGAAATTTGAGATAACATATTCAGATTTAGAATCGTGTAATACAATAAAGGTCACTGCTGTTGAAAATGAAACGGAAAATGTAGTTCACGTTTGCGTAGAAAGAATTAAGTAGATTGGGAGGAATTCGTTTTCCACTTGAAACGGCGGATAGGAACAGAGCAATCAAGGAGAGGGGACCGAGTGATGCAGCTGCCCTCTTGGCGAGGAAGCAACCGTGCCACTTAGCCGGGATGGTTTTAATGTTTACGCGTAAGATGTTCGGGAAGATCTTAAGTTTCAAACGCTTTCTTCGTTAATGTTTCAACTGAGACGCTCATAACTTCTCCGTGTATACGCGCGTCGCCACGCTGTTCCCGCGTACTCGGATAAAGTTGCCGAAAATATTCGTCCCTTTTAGCCGCCGTTACCTCTCGAAATTTTAATGTGCCGTAGTTACGTAATGCGGACGATGATCCCAGTTCAAATGCTTCCGTTCGTTTAATTAAGAAATATCGCAGGATTGAGATTTAAGGCTGTTTGACGTAAGTTTCATTACTCGAGATATTAAAAACTGGGTTCGTAAGATGCCGCTTTTTTTTACCGATTACGTGATTTTAAATGCGAAGTTGTTATTTACTTATTCATAGTTCACGTCTTTCAGCTTCCAATGGTATTACGGCTTCACATTTTTCCGTACAACTAAACTGGGCTTACATTCTATATCTCAAAGGAAACTAAGTTTTTCATGAAACGGTAAAAAATTGGGCAATTTTTAGATGCCTTAAAATTAATGTTTCTGATTGTATATTATTCTGATGTGAATAATTCTATAGAGATCGTTCTAAAATATTTTGGATATTAGGCACTTTTCTCTAATGAAGAGCACAAGGTGTTATACTTCTAACAATAAGTCCAACTATAAAAGATGTTGATACAGTATAATATTAACATAAATGCAATATTTTAAAAAAGACATCTGCGTATCTGTGAAAACATTTGCTTCGCCCAAAGAGTAGAGGTTGCTCCAAATTTTTGTCTATGTATTTCCATATTTCTATATTCCTTTATTTATCTGATATTCTTTTTATTACCTCCTGTTTATATTTATTCACTATTCTTTCCTTGTAATCTCATATCCCCTTCTTTTCGGTTTTACAAATAGATTATGTTCTGTTTATCTTACTCTTTTCTTTATTTCTTTTTAACCTTCCAATTTTATTTAGGTGATCATTTCCTTGACTATTATCCCCTAATACTAATTCTCCACCTTCCCCTGTTTTCGTTTTCTCACATTCTTTCAACACATATCTCATTGTCTCTTCTTTCTTTCCAGACATCCTGCACTCCTGTTCCTTTCCTTCCAATATCCTTTAATACAAACATACATCTCATTGTCTCTTCCTTCTTCCCACATCCTACTCTACTGCTCCTTTTCTTTCTAATGTTCCTTAATACAAAGTTTTTACAATTTATTTGCACATTTAATCGAAGATATGCAATGAAATTGAATGAACATAAAAATGAGTATGTACGTATATATATAATTAATGCCAAATTACTTTAATCTCCATTTGTGAGCTTAAAATTACAAAACGTTTAAGTATATCGTAATAAGCTTTGATGTACCACTTCGGACTACAAGAACATTATATCGTGGTTTCGGTTTGCTTTTAATCTTATTGCTCATGACCGCATGTGGTACACAATGCCACAAGAACGCAGTTAATAAAAGAAAGAATGACGATGCCTCTGTAACCTATGTACAGCGATTACGTTGGCCCATGTACGTGCCGTTAACGTATTAGCAAAGGCAGTGATCCGCGGCCGTGGTCGGAGTAAACCTTTCGCAGGAATCTAATAGAGTTACCGTCGAGGTCCGAGGATTACTGGAAAATACGTCAGACCAGCTAGAGCTGGCGCTGCATTGCGGTGCACCCTACACAGACGCGTACACGTACGCACAGGGACACGTAGGTACGTAGACGCGTGCACCCACGCACACGAGGCATCTATATGATCCGCGTGTGTGGAGAAACGATGCAACGGCGGAAACGTGAGGGTGGTTTGCTCGTCGGTGAAGGTTTTATCGGTGGATTAGCATTGCTTTACATAGTTTCGAACGGGATTGCATAGGTTTCAGACCGCCGCCTGTCACACATCCGCAGAGGACCGAGTGGAAGCTCGACGAATCCGCAAACCGATTTTCACTCGTTCGTACCGGGATCTTCTAATCTGTCGTCGAATGTCCCGATCCGACGAGAGTCTCCTTATTAAACACCGATGTCCCATATCTAGACGCGTCTTTGAACCTGTCTTGATTTCTAGCAGATTCGTACAAACATGGCTTGTTCCAAATAAAACTTGCAATCAGTCAGACTATGCGAACTGTACCACAATTAATCAAGTTAACATGGATTCTAAATTTAGCTACATTTGAGAAAAATTATATAAAACGCTTATTTAAATATATGCGCTATAACGCTATAACGCTTATTCATATATGATCGACTTATACATTTGCACATAATATTAAAAAGTCGCTTACATAAGAATCAAAAGTAGTTTACTGAACACTAAAATATGAGTATTGTATTTGTACTCCTTCATATTTTCAGACTAAGTCGAAGCCTACTGGACCTACCTGAACTCGTTCTATTCTTGTTGAAATAAAAATCCTGTCACTTAATATAAAGTTGGAACTCCTTATTGGAAATACAAAAAGTATAGGGAGTATCAACTATGGAATAAATATGAGAAGAACCTCTAGTTTAGAAATACAATTAAATAATTTGAGAAACTTATATATCTTATATTTAAATTAAGTAGGACTTTGTAATAGGCATGTTAGACTGTCACTGTGGTCGTAAAAGCATCGTTTGGTTTCAGTTGTCCTTAAACAACGCCAGCCAGGAAACAATTTGTCTCTTTCCAAGGAGATCTGCTTCTTTGTGCCGGGGTCGTGACGTTCGCTGAAAAATCTTGCCACTTGTAAATAATGGAGTACCGAAATCGTAGAAAGATTACCACCACTATATGCGATTTACCTTGTGAAGTATAATTTATGAGCGGTATTTTTCATATTTGAGATTTGTATATTACCAATTTTAATGTACCTGTGTGTGTACATAAATTGATATAATAAAATATATGTGTTATATATATATGTATAAATGTGTGTACATACATTATACTTTTCGAATTGATACATGTGGTATGTTCTTGTTTATGAAAAATTGGAACTGTTTGAAATTAAAGTATTTATATTATACGTGCACATGTTTACCTGGGATTACCTGCGAAATTCAATATTTTTTGATAAAGTTTTTAACGATAAACACGATGAAATTTAATGAACAAGAATTTCCGTTAAATAATAACATAGGAGAATCTATACACATGCGGGCATCGTATTAAACGAAAACATAAAATTCCCCGGTGCGATATTAATTCAACGTCTGATGAAAGTACGATTTACACCAGGTCGGCGATAAATCATCTTTTTAATTACGCTTTTAGCCCTTCCTCGCGCTCACAAAAGTGGCGGTAGACCATCCGCGGTGGTTCAATGCGTAACGAGTCCCGAAGCAATAAATATGGAGCACAATGGATATTAATTAGAGTGTATTTTAATAGAGGAACAATTAAGAAAGTGGGTCGCCGTGCAGTTACCGGTTGCCCAGCTATATAGGAGCCGCGGGTGCGAGGGGCCTGGGTGGGTAGTACGATTTACGCCGGGAACGAGGAGGAATAGCACGTGGCAGTTTTACACGGGGTGGCTTCCACTAGCTATCTTCAGCGGAATAATAGCAGTTCCTTTAATTAGATGCGCAGCGCGATGCTTTTGTTCTCGAAAAAAGGAACTGGACCGGAAGGCCGATGAAGGGTAATTTCTTCCCTCCGCTCTCGTAGCTTGATCAGTGAGCCGACCCACCTCCGTACGAGTCCTGTGTCTACCTCGTATTTTCTCTTTTTAACAAACTTCATCTTCGTATCCATGCTATATCATCTGAGCTACTTGCATTATCGTTATAACTAGTTTCTGAATATAAAAATTATTATGCAAATCATTATACATGTCATTGTAAACAACGGAACTGCATAAGTGACGCAAAGTTAAAAATGTAATGAAAAATTGTATACATTATCGGGTTTAGAAATCATTTAAAACCCTAGAGGTAAGAGGAGGTGTTTCTTGTTCGTTTCGCCAGTGCTCTTTGAGCATTTAAAGAGATGACTCGATACAAAGCAGTCTGCAAGTAAATTAAGAGTGGAGGGATTGGAACTTTAATTGCATGCAACTTGACCCATTCATTTCCTGCTGATCGTTTCTTCCAGGGTATCCCACTTGAAATTTCGCATATAATTATTTCCTGAAGTATAGCTCGTTTTATAAGATGTTCCAAATAAAACGTAGTTTGATGGTCACAAATCTTTTCTACGTACTTTCGAGGTTTAAGGATAATCGTTTTTTATACTGTTACCATCACGTCGGAAGCTTTACATGGGATACCCTCTCGCTGCCTCGACTCAATCAACTGAATCCTTAGACTGACTCCGGAAACTTGAAATTGATACAACGTTAGAGCAGCCTTTTACGAAAAACGAAATAGAAAAGTGGATACACGAATTGAGAGGAAAGATAAATAAAGAGTGGGAAGGATAAATTATGAGGTAAAAATGTTAAGTAAGATAAAAGAGGATGAGGGCAAAGATAAAAAAGAGATAAACTACAGAAAAGAATAAATAATGTAAAATTGTAATGATGGGTGAAACAAGGAAAAGAAAATTATAATTAGGAGCATAGAAACAAATGGGTCCATATACGAAGGCAAGAGAGGAAAGCCGGGAGGAAAAAATCGAATGGTGTTCAATTATAAGAGAAAAGGAGAAGGAATGAACGAGGAATAGGCCGAGCACATAATAAGAATAAGAAGAGAATTATGCAGATGCCGGATATTCGACGTGGAGATCGGGTAGTCGAGTATTCTTCGCGGAACCGACCCTTTAGCCAATAGACATCTGGGATTTCCTGAATTGAATGTAAATTACCTTTTGCCCTGTTCACGAAACGGCGATCTATCGTTAAGCTTCTTGCAAATAAGACTTCTTCTTTCTACTATCCCGTATCTCTTTCCATCCCTCCTTTCGCAAGGGTGCCAAATACCCTCGAAGACGAATGAGAGGGAGCAGTAAGAAAGAATAAAAGTAAAATATAGAGTAGGAGAATTCAGGAACGAAGTAAGTTTGTAATAAGAAGAAAAAGAGATTCTGTTTTTTTAACTAATTTCATGTATGTGCAAACAGTGAAGACAATGGTTTAAGATACAGGATAATGGAAGCTGGATGAGCGGATTCAAGACTCTTAAAGACATTATCTTGATCATAGGAAAGGCACAACGTGTTGCTGTTGATCGCTCGTCGAGGATCCTACGCTATGGGTAGCTCGAAATAAAATATATCGAGCGTCGAACAGTAATCCTATTTACTTAATGCACGAAATGACGCGTGATTAAACATGGCGAAAGCCGCGATACGCGATGAATCTCGATGAAACGGATTGATGGAATGTAATTGCAAGATAATGGAATGCTACTTTCACTAGTACGCGTTAAGTAATTAGCCATTAAACGAATTTTATTATTCTCACGCTATATATGTATAAATGTGTGTACATACATTATACTTTTCGAATTGATACATGTGGTATGTTCTTGTTTATGAAAAATTGGAACTGTTTGAAATTAAAGTATTTATATTATACGTGCACATGTTTACCTGGGATTACCTGCGAAATTCAATATTTTTTGATAAAGTTTTTAACGATAAACACGATGAAATTTAATGAACAAGAATTTCCGTTAAATAATAACATAGGAGAATCTATACACATGCGGGCATCGTATTAAACGAAAACATAAAATTCCCCGGTGCGATATTAATTCAACGTCTGATGAAAGTACGATTTACACCAGGTCGGCGATAAATCATCTTTTTAATTACGCTTTTAGCCCTTCCTCGCGCTCACAAAAGTGGCGGTAGACCATCCGCGGTGGTTCAATGCGTAACGAGTCCCGAAGCAATAAATATGGAGCACAATGGATATTAATTAGAGTGTATTTTAATAGAGGAACAATTAAGAAAGTGGGTCGCCGTGCAGTTACCGGTTGCCCAGCTATATAGGAGCCGCGGGTGCGAGGGGCCTGGGTGGGTAGTACGATTTACGCCGGGAACGAGGAGGAATAGCACGTGGCAGTTTTACACGGGGTGGCTTCCACTAGCTATCTTCAGCGGAATAATAGCAGTTCCTTTAATTAGATGCGCAGCGCGATGCTTTTGTTCTCGAAAAAAGGAACTGGACCGGAAGGCCGATGAAGGGTAATTTCTTCCCTCCGCTCTCGTAGCTTGATCAGTGAGCCGACCCACCTCCGTACGAGTCCTGTGTCTACCTCGTATTTTCTCTTTTTAACAAACTTCATCTTCGTATCCATGCTATATCATCTGAGCTACTTGCATTATCGTTATAACTAGTTTCTGAATATAAAAATTATTATGCAAATCATTATACATGTCATTGTAAACAACGGAACTGCATAAGTGACGCAAAGTTAAAAATGTAATGAAAAATTGTATACATTATCGGGTTTAGAAATCATTTAAAACCCTAGAGGTAAGAGGAGGTGTTTCTTGTTCGTTTCGCCAGTGCTCTTTGAGCATTTAAAGAGATGACTCGATACAAAGCAGTCTGCAAGTAAATTAAGAGTGGAGGGATTGGAACTTTAATTGCATGCAACTTGACCCATTCATTTCCTGCTGATCGTTTCTTCCAGGGTATCCCACTTGAAATTTCGCATATAATTATTTCCTGAAGTATAGCTCGTTTTATAAGATGTTCCAAATAAAACGTAGTTTGATGGTCACAAATCTTTTCTACGTACTTTCGAGGTTTAAGGATAATCGTTTTTTATACTGTTACCATCACGTCGGAAGCTTTACATGGGATACCCTCTCGCTGCCTCGACTCAATCAACTGAATCCTTAGACTGACTCCGGAAACTTGAAATTGATACAACGTTAGAGCAGCCTTTTACGAAAAACGAAATAGAAAAGTGGATACACGAATTGAGAGGAAAGATAAATAAAGAGTGGGAAGGATAAATTATGAGGTAAAAATGTTAAGTAAGATAAAAGAGGATGAGGGCAAAGATAAAAAAGAGATAAACTACAGAAAAGAATAAATAATGTAAAATTGTAATGATGGGTGAAACAAGGAAAAGAAAATTATAATTAGGAGCATAGAAACAAATGGGTCCATATACGAAGGCAAGAGAGGAAAGCCGGGAGGAAAAAATCGAATGGTGTTCAATTATAAGAGAAAAGGAGAAGGAATGAACGAGGAATAGGCCGAGCACATAATAAGAATAAGAAGAGAATTATGCAGATGCCGGATATTCGACGTGGAGATCGGGTAGTCGAGTATTCTTCGCGGAACCGACCCTTTAGCCAATAGACA